CTACGAACGATTCCCGTCGCGAGTAAGAGGCGGACCTAGGCTAAGGCTAACGGACGTCTCAATAACGACTTGAGTACCGCTAAACGCGTAAAAGGCCCTACCAAGACCAACGGATGCTTGTCGTTTTACAAATGCTAACCGGGAATTTTGGCATTCTGCGAATAGGGTTGCGCTCGCTGCGGGACTTACCATGTCAAAACTCAATTTCGTGATCGACAGCCACGCGACTGAGGCGTTCGTGACGAGACGTTGTACGCGCAAAGTCGGCGATAGAAGTTTGTAAAGTGTCAATAACCGCTGCAAGGCTCGGGAATATGGATAAACGTGCGTGCTGATGATGAATGAACATGGTAGGTGCTGGAGATTGAGTCTGAGGAATCTATCGAAGAATGCCCAGGTGCTGACATCATCAGCAGCGCACAGACCCCAGCAAGAAAGCTACACTCTCCAGTCAAACACGTCCTCCCCGCATCCCTTTGACCCCTGTTTGGTTCACATCTCAGGCAGAGTTCTTAATATTCCAGGCAAACTTCGGCTTCCGCTATCGGGATGCCTCTGTCGAATTCCTCTATCGAGATCGGGCTTTGAGCGACGGTTTTCGTTATCAGCCGGCAACGTCTACTCCGAGATGACCTCTTGTCCGAGCTCAGGGACTATTCGAAATACAATTGAAGATCTCTTAACGCTACATCTCTAGGTACTAGAAGATCTGCCGTGCTCACTCACCACGTGGAAAGCCTAGCAAATGCTTCCATCGCCTTTAGTACAGCCTCGGCTGCTTCTGACTGCGGAACAAGATCGACACATGCATCAGCGGATTGTCCCGAATGCGCCACCTCCACAGCATCGCCTGTCATCCCCTTACCGCCTTCCATATCCTCGTTATTGTAATCGCCTGGATCTTCGCGCGCAGCTTTTGCCAGAACTGGTTCGCTTCCAGTCGGATCACGATAATCCCAAGTCCCAGGCTTCTTTCGATGTATTGCATGCAGCTTGGCAGGCTGTCTACGGCCACCACCCGCACCAGGACGCTTCCGTGGCTTCGTAATCATTCCGTCTGCAGGCTCATCCTCCACGCCTCCAAACCCGTCCTGTCGCATGAATTGATCGAAAAATTGCATGCGAGGTTCATCAATCTTGAGCACTGCCTTACATGCGCGATAACCCTTCTTCAGCATTGCTGCGACGTACTTGTTGGCGAAATGTTGTATCCTGTCCTCCTCGACTGGCCCGGTGCTGTCCATTGCGGCGTCATCACTGGAGCCAAGGGTGAGACTGTCGAGAGCTACTTCCGCACGTACTACATCGATCAGGCAAGCCGGGCAGACGAACGGCTGGCCTTGCATCGGTCGCACACAGGTCACACCACAGCTTGCGGTATACTCTGTTTGGATCCTGTGGCCACACTGTAGGTCATGGAACGTCGATGATGGGTTGCATGGACTGTACATGTCGTGGAAGTGCTGATCACTCTCTTGGATCTGCAGCTCACGCTGTTGCCTTTCGGTTTCAGCTACCTTGTTGTGGAAGGCATCGATGATAGCGCGAGCTTGTGCAGGAGCAGCGTGCATGTTTACCCGAGAATCACCCCGGGCAGCTGAATTGATGCAGTCGGTAGCCAGGCGTGTAGTTTTGATGTCGCATTCGAGCTGGCGATGAGATTGTCTACTTCAAGAGATGGTTGGTGTTGTACTTGGGTAGCGGAGGTTGTTGACTCGGAGGGAGAGTCATGTGTTGATGGGGGAACTCCGCGCGTGACAAGATGCGCAATGCCGAGGGCGGCTGACTAATACAGGAGCGGAGCCTTGTGTCAATAGCACCGACTGACGGTAAGACACCTGGACAGAAATTTGATGAGAAGTCTTATTTGTGTATCTTCATTCGACTCACAGTAATGTCGAATGGTGGGTAGTGCAGCTCGACCCCTTCCTCATTCTCAATTAGGACAACCTTGCTCACAGGCCATCCATTGCTGTCATGATAGCCGTCAAAGTCGAACCAATCGCACGATGCCAATCCTGGAAAGATCATCCTCCAAACCTGCGCTCCAGGTCCAAATTCATCTGTCTCGCCTACGCCCTCCGCCGGCTCCAAGACAACCCCTTCCGGTGTAGAGAAGTAGCGTGGCTGGGCATCCGCGGTCCAGGACAGGCGATCTATTGCTTCGAGCGCGGATGAACCGTTCACCAGGAGCGAGCGAATATACAAGATTTGGTCTTTGATCTCCAAGTTGGCGTAAGTGGAGGAGTTTGAGAGCGTGGTGGCGACTTCATCAGCAATGAGTCCAGTGTCTTCACCAGCGCTGTAGAACCCTGCAAATCGCTCCTTCGTTCTTGTGCTCAATGCTTCTGCGAAAGCAGGCGCAAGGATAGCATGTACTGTATCTCTGACAGTACTCGTCGAGATACCTGCGTAGTCGGCCAGACCGGAGCCTTGCACGAGCACGATTATTCCATACCCGAGATTTGGTATCGCGTCGATCCAGCTATGCCAGCCTCCTCCATCGCCGGACTTGCCAAAGATGCTATATGTCTTCATACTTTCCTCCGCCAGACTAGCATTCTCACTCGTCGGTAGATTCAAGATCTCAATCTCCCAGCCTGGGCCACTCTGCTGTTTGCCGTCTGCAAGTATGACACTTGGCTTCATAACCTGACGACGCTGGAAGGGTGTGATGAGTGTAGGCTCGGGCGTGAGCCATAAGCCATGCATATAACGGGCGAGATCGTTTGCAGAGCTCCACATGCCGGCTGCTGGATCGTAGCCTTCGCCTACGATCAAATCGACCCAACTGTCACCGCCCGGTACGGTTATGTCTGGTATAAGGTCCTGCGGGACAGTGCCAAAGAAGCTGTGAGTCATGTTCAATTGCAGAAGAAGCTCCTGAGATGTCAGCTCAGACCAGGTCAAAGACGAGGAAGTGACGTTATTGTAGTATGTGGCTACAGCGGCTGGGGGTCGATTAGTCAATGTTCTCATTAGTCGCATGGAATGTTCACTCACCACCTAGAATACCCAAACCGGCGTTTGAATCTGTTCGTGTCAGTACGCGTCTCATTCGTAGTATAAAGTCGCTTACAAGCCGCCCTCTGCCCTGGTGCAAACATCAAATTCTTCATCGCTATCCCATCAATTACATCTTGGGCAGTCTCACCCGCCCATGCGGCTCCAATGGTCGGCGAATCTGCTTTTCCGGTACTGAGAATCATGTTGAAGCCAGTACTGTAGCTCTCCCTTGGTATACCCGCTGTGTGGCTGGCAAGCATACGCAATGTGATCTCGCTGCCGCCGTCGTTCCAGTCTCTCTCCGGTAGACCGAAAGAAGGAAGCAGTTGGCGGACGGGCGTATCGATAGTTAGGAGAGATGACGATGATGAGGAGTTTTGTCTGAGCTGGTTTTCGATGACCAGAGCAGAGGCCATCGCGACGTTTTTCGAACAAGACATCAGGCGGAAGATCGAGTCGCTCGTCACCACATTTGCCTCGGTCGAGCCCACATCCGTCTCGTTGAACTTCAATGTTCCGTTGTTGAAAACATATGCTGGTTTCGGGCTTGACGCATGAACCTTGTGATTGTTAGTAATAAGCCTTTCGATGAGATTGGACCTGTACGCACAACGGCGAAGCTGAGTCCATCGCGAGTGGTGTTGATGTATAAAGCCGAGAGGTTGCGCTGGACTTGTTCAAATGCTGCAATTACTGCCGGATGTTGTAGTGTCAGCGGGTCAGACAGTATCTTGTCGGCGAAGTCGGGCACGCATGCACATGCTGCGAAGGAGACCAGGCATGGTGCAAATGCGAAGGTGATCCTCATAGTGAGGCTGTTGTTTTCGAAACTCAATCACAGAAGCGAATGTAGAATGCGCGCGAGGATGTCGGGCTTTGGGGATATTTGTACATTGCGATACAGAAGTATGTTGTGCACAGGTAGATACCGCTGTAACGGTCCAAGAGTTGCGTATGCGCCGAGACGGCATCAGGGATGCGACAAGCCAATGATGTGTTTGTGCTCCTGCAACCAGAGACACCTGCCTATCGGGGCCGATTTGTATGCATATGGCTGCAGATAATCCACAATGCTTCTGGTCATGCTTTTTCCATCTGGGCGACTCCGACCTCAACTAGGTACCGTCATCAACGAAGGTAGAGCAATTGTCAAGAGCCTGCGACCCTGAATAGTCGAAGCTTGTGGCGATGCTTACTACCGAAATGAGGGCGAGAAGGACCGAGAGGGAGCATCCATGAATGTTCGAAGAACGAAGTTTAGGTCAAGAGTGGGGTGACCCCATGTTGGTATTTGCGCCCCACATCAACGCCTATCTCTGAATCTAATAGCCTTGCGTTTACACCTTTCATCTCTTCGAACGCTTTTTTTTCCTCGATACCGACGACGTTTCGCTACAAGTATAACACCTGCTGCGCTTTTTCATTTTCTTGATTTGCGGGAAGGGGACGAAGTGTTCAAGAATGTAGTAGCGCCATAACCGGGTGTAACGTATACCGTATAAGGTCACAAGCTGGAAGTACCCTTCAATTGCATGCAAGACGACATGTAAGATGAGTGGAGTGTAATAAAACGTATATTGTTTGTAAAAGCAGAACCGAGAAGGTAAAAATAACGTATTCGGTCATGCCGCAGCTGGTCAAGTAAAACCAACCGTTGTATCATTATCGTAGAAAGAACGTATCTCTGGTCAATGCATCGCGCTCTAAGCGCCTCTGTCGCTCGCTCTCCTCTAAACGTTGGAGCTGATTTCTATCGATGGCAAATCCTTCCAGGTTACTTGATGTCCTATCGCCAGAGCCTCTCGCGGCGGGAGGTCGATGGTGCTGTTGCCATGGATTTCGGGACGTCAAGACTGGCATTGACGGTCTTGAGGCGAGAAACCGTTCGGGCAACACAGCTTGGTCTTGCTGTCGTCTCTTCACACGAGCACCCTCTTCTAGCGAGTCAAGTCTCAGTTGCAGAGACTCTAACTTCTGCCGTGTAGCTTCGGGTTCTAGAGCTTGCGGAGACGGTACAGGGTCGGGAAGTTTCCTATGAGTGCGACGCCTAAATCTCCCAGGTATTCCAGTGGCTGTGCGGTTTTGATGGTATGGTGGGACAGGATTGACTTGATCTAAGGACTCCTCGCCCCGAAAGTATGCTTGTGAAATCTGGCTGTCCAGAGTTTGGGCGCGAATTGGAGGTGCACAAGGAGTTGCGCCGGAGCGTCTAGCCCATTGCGCTGCTCTTGTATCTCCTGTCCTGCTAGCATTAGGCTGGGGTGGAGGAAGTGGAATTCTCTGGTTCTTATCGAGGTTTACGGTGCAAGCCGAAGCGCCGACAGACAACTCGCCAATGCGTGGTGGTATTGTTGGGTCGTCATAGCATACTCGCTTGGTGCTCTTGCTCTTCAGATCGGCTTCCGAAGTAGCCTTCACTTCAGGCTTTGAAGAGCTCCGAATAGAGGATGTGAGGTTTTGACGCAGCCGATCCAGCGTCTGTACCAGGATTGCGCAATTCTGGCACGGAGGTGTACTGTCGAATTGCGGAGTCGATTGTGATGAGAACGCCGGACTAGAAGCGTTGCTCATGTAAACATGCTGGAAGTTCGGATCCATCTCGCCACAGACAGGATTCGGTTGCTTCGCGTTGACCGAGGGGACGGGCGCGATCGGTACTGGGCTACGCTTATGCTGCCACTGCTGGATCTTTTCTTCCGTGGTCATTGAGCGTGAGAAGTTCGAGAAGAGCGAGGGCCCTGCAAAAGGCGCGAAGTCTGAGTTGCGTTGCTGAACGAAGTCTGCGGGAAGGGTTGCCGCTCTGGCGAGTGGCTTCTGTAAGTGTTGTGATGGTGTATGTGTAGAAATGCCGGGCGCGCGTCGCAGAGTTGGCTCAACGGGACCGCTCGGTCTTCGTAGTGGAGTGAAGTCGGAACTCGGCACGTCCACAGCACTTTTCTTTCCGTGCCGGATGACTTCAAGCATTGCGTCGCCTTTTGGGGCTGTAGTCAAGTTCTCGTAACCAGAGGAGGTGATGAGAATGTCGTCTTCTATGCGTACACCGCCCACGGGCATGTAGCGCTTCAAAACCTCAGTATTGATGTACTTGGAGTGAACGGGTGATGGGAGATAGAAATGTTGTAGAGCGTATGCGGAAAAGTAGATGCCAGGCTCGACAGTGACAACCATGCCTTCTTCGAGATGACTGCTCTGGGGATCGCTGGGCGCGAGGCAAGTCTCAGAATCATATACCGGGACATGGAAATCCTGTGGGTAAAGGGATGGTGCCTTGTCAGATTGTTAGCGACTGATCAATGTTCGGACTGATTGAACTTACCTGCTGGTACACTGGCTTTCCTCTTCTTACACTCATGAGTTGTGCCTGACCCACGTCATGCACTTCAAGGCCTATGTGATGTCCAAGACCATGGGGAAAGAATGCTCTACTTGTACCTGCCTTGTAGATTTCTTCTTTCGTTCCATGGTGAAGAATTCCCAGTTGCAGCAATCCGTCGATTGCGATCTGATGCGCCATAACGTGCAAATCCAGATATCTTACGCCGGGCTCTAGGCGTTTGATACATGTTTCCTGCATACGCTGGACCAGCTTGTAGATGTTCTCGGCTTCTTTGCTTGGCCAAAAAGTAGATAGCGGGAAAGTACGGGTAATGTCACTTGCATAGAGCTCATACTCGCATCCTGCATCTAAACACATGAGTTGACGACCCGCGAGATCTTCATCGTTCGCGGCATAGTGAAGAGTTCCGGCGTTCGGTCCGGAAGCAGCGATGGGATCGTAGGCCTGTTGCTTCGCTTGCTGCGATATGCATACATCCATGAACAATCCCTCAACCTGTGCCTCGTTCTTGAAGTTCGTGATGTTAGCAAGGATTTCTCGGTGCGCTTGCGAGCTGATGTCGTTCGCTTTCCGAATAAGCTTGATCTCGTGATCATCCTTGATCATGCGACATACGTTCATGGCTGATCGGAGGGCTATCGAATCAATACGGGGCTTCAGATTGTCGCAGCCGGGGAATTGCGATGACGGGTGCAGGACGTAGATGCCAGCCTGTCGGTTACCGATCGCCCATCCTTGCACGGCGTACTCAAGCTCATCTGCGTAGAAAACTTGATCGACATCGTATTTCAGGAGTGCCTCTGCTAGGGTGGAGCCACGGCCGTACCAGATAACGCGCTCAGGCTTGATGCGGGGAATGAACAAGGACAGTTCGTCGCGTCGCGTGTCGTAAGTCAGATGGCAGTCAGGTTCATTGCATCTTCATACCATCAGCACGGTCCTCATTTACTCCCAGATCAACGCACCCGCTCAAGTAATAGAAATATCGGCGTTGTCGGAAGGGTGCTGGCATATCGCTATCTTCGTTGTTCCTCGCTGGTTGACCCGGTAGGTAGATCAGGCCTTCTTCAACACCCAACTTCTCTTGCACCCTCCGCGCATGTTGTTTTGCTGCGCGACGTTAGCTGATTGCGCGACCCACACTCATCTTCCCAGACATACCGGGATACTTCTCAAACGGAGTCTCAGCCTCGAGGTGCAGCCAGTACTCATTGTCTTCCCATCTCAGGCGCTCAGAGAGACCTTTCGCATCGAGAACTTCCATCGTGTTACCTCGTAATGCCTCGGGGAAGAACTGCGATTGCGAAAGGCTTGAGCTCCGATTGAGATGTGACCGGCGTTTTAGTGTTGTCGAGGATCTCACCGGTAAAGCCACCGCATAGTGCACGTGCCAGCTCGAGCGCTCCGGTCAGTAAACCGGGAGCTACGATCGTGAACGCTGTCAACACATTCGGCCCCTTACATCTATAAACTGACTGGTGCCGTCGACGATAGTCTCTTTGAGTAGACTGGCATCAAGACTGCAGTGCGCCTCCAAACATGTAGGCCCGACGAAGATGCCCATGTTGCCTTACGACCCCGCGCCTGCGCCTGCTTCCGCTGCCCATCGACTGTGCGACACGAGGCGAGGTCGTGTCAAGCGTCAACCTCAACTCATGTGGACATCTGCAGCATGCTCACTGCATCTGATAGGTGACACGATGAGACGTACACCGATTTCGGGTCAATGCAAGAAAGAGAAAGGAAATCGCAAGGTGTCTGTTGCGAAAATGATGCTGATTGGCTAGAAATGTCTTGACCGGTGAACCGGTCAACACATAGCTAAGAGGCACGTACCCAATATGTCAGACTGAGTAATGTCGCACAGACATCCGACCGGCTTTGGGATCTCGTTTGTTTTAGCTAGCATATACATCGGATGTGTGCTCTCAGAAAAGATCGCCATTTTGGGGAGGGCGGGGAAGCTGACATCGCTCCATTGCCACCCAAGCAAAGGGCTTTGTGATATTCCTGGAGGATCTCACGTCTTCGTAGAAGCCTACGGGAAGTCCTATGGGCCTCGTAGAAAACAACATGCTGTCGTACTGCCCTTAACGTTGTCTTTCCTCTCATCATTTTGTTCATACATGTCATCAGGTCATTTGCCATTCACTCTTTTCGTAACCTTCAAAGTCTTCACATGAGTTTACTTGGTCATACTCCCCTGTGCAACGGTAGGTTTTCATTCGTACTAGTTAGACTACAAAGCAATGGGTATCGCGAAAGACTAACACCAGAACACCCTTCTTTCATAGCCTCCTAGGAGGATCTTAACGCCGTGTAAGCCAAGTAACACCATCCTTTAGTCTCTCGAGGAGGTTGTCGATGTCAACCCCAAACCCAAACCTATCACCACAGTCCACCCTGTAGGCTGTCAGCACTGGGTCGCTTCACTAAGCTCCTGTCAATAGCCGCTGAATACCCCGACAGCCATGTTCAGCGGCGCTGAGCTCGGTTCTCGGCAGCCTTGTTGGAGAAGAGAGTAGGGCGAATGGCAGCGAAACGCGCGCCTTGGGAACGGTGCCAGTAGGGACATGAAGTCTTGCGACAAGGCTTGCGCCTCTTCTCGCGAAGACACTGGTCGCCGTATGTCGGACGCTTGACCTCGGGCTCGCTGGGCTCGCTGGGTTTGGGCGCCTTGACGAAGCCACTGAAGGGGTTGCTATCCTGAGCCATGTTGATGTGGTAGTGGGTAGAGTTCGACTCGATCTTGAGGAAGTTGTTGTTACCGACGCTGTTGGTGTTGGCGCTGCCGGTAGAGCGAACCACTCCCATGTAGAGATCCCGGTAGTGGTCGCGCTCTTCGCGGAGCTTGGTGTTCTCGACAAGGCCAACCTCGATTGCGCCCTTGTATTGATCGCGTTGACGGGTGACGCCATCGAGGCGGAGGGCGAGCTGGGTGTCGGAGGTGTTAGAGAATATTGGAGCGACATCGCCGTCATCGTCGTCATCGCTGTCTTTGCTGTCATTGTCGTCGTCTTCGTCGTATTCGTTGCCGTTGTCGTTGTCGTCGTTGTAGTTGTCGTCATCGTTGTAGCTGCCGTTGTCGTTGTTGTAGTTGTTGTAGTTCTTGTTGTTGTCGTCGTCATCGGTGACCTCTCCTATCTTCAGCTTCTTCCGCAGGCGCATTTCGAGGACGATGATATGCTCTTGTAGGCTGACGATGATCTGGGCCTCGGTCTTCTTGGGCGACTCGTTCTTGATCTTTACAGGCGCCATCTTTGAGGTGATCACTTGGAAACGACTGGATGTGGAAATCGAATTGGTTGCCTTGCTGAGGGCGGTGCCTGACTTTATGGTAGAAGGGAATGCCAAGCATCGTGAAAGGTAGGGAAAGAGCTGTTATCGGGTGACAGGCAAGGTCTCGACTGTGTTGCCTCTAGGAACTACGTAATCGGGAGCTCAAAACACGGAGTGAAGGACGAGTTGCCGAAGAAAGCTTGCGTACTATTGGTCCATTCTGATAATCGAACAGTCTTCACGAGCGCGTGACTTGAGTCTAGCCTATCTAGGTACGAAGTGAGAGTGAGAACCGGCTGGCTGGCCGTAACCGCAAGCCCCACGGAGGTGACTGACGCCTAGCGCCGTACGATCTTGGCGCCGCCCTCTGGATATATAAACCGCTGCTCCCCACCCTCTTCGACTTCTTCTTTTCTCTTCAGTTGCTTCGCAGAACACTACTGCAATGAGAAGGTCTCATGTTCAACTCGCATGTCAGCTAAGCTGGTGCAACCGCCAAGTGGCTGTCAGCTAAGCTGGGTTACTGGAGGTCAAACTGTCGCGCCCGATTTACGTACGGGGTCCCACGCGGCAGGGTACGACGACACTCACTAGATGAGTTGGTTGTCAGCAACTTCAAGATCCGCCTTGAGCGCCTTGTCGTCCCAGCCAGGCCGGTCTCCGGTCTGGTATACTGGTGATGTCCGCTAAGCGGGTCAACAGGGAAAGATGAGAGGCCACCACAAAGATGAAAGGTGGAATCGCATTCAGTCTGGTCACAGACAGTCTATCTGACGCAGTGCTTGTCGCTTGCAGATACTGACCTCCGAGGGCTTTGGGATTTGGAGAGAGGACGAGGTGATTCTCGTTCTTCCAGGCATTCAACACGCACTGTTCGCAGTGCTTTTTGTGTACCGTGCGCATCAGTGATGCGTGTCTGTCAACGGTATCTTGTCATCTTTTTCATTGAGCTCTGAGCCTTGCGCCTAGACTTGAGGAAGGAGAGTTGTTTGGGCAGATGAGCGACATATGTAGTATCCACGGATGTAAAGCTAGTTGTACACCATGAAGCTTGAGTAAAGACGTCATTGCGACGGTTTCGAAGACATATGTTAGAACATGTATATGGAAGGCGACTTCATGCGACTATCGCCTAAAGAAGGAAGGGCTGGAACTAGGGACTATAGGTCGTAATATCATGAAAGCATCTAGAGACTTGTCTCACTCATCGCTATCATCCTCATCTTCATCTTCATCATCATCCATCTCTTCGTCTTCATCTTCATCTTCACTTTGTACGTCGCTTGCGTCAAGATCGACGGGTACCGTCGCCGGCCAATCCACGGTCACCTCTTCCTGTAATTCCTCCCAAAACTTGCTCACGTCTGCCCCAGCGTACTCCTTCACCTTCTTCGCTGGGACTGGGATGTTCGAATTGTTGTTTGCATCATCGCTCTTGAAAGTCACATACATGTGGTCTTGCTGCAACATGCCGACTTTAAGATGAGTAAGAGCAAGTCGCGGCGTCTTGGACAGCTTGCGGAAGAAGTCGCGCCAGAAATTGGGCTTGTGTCCGTGAGGTAGAGCGACTGCAGCGGGGATGTTCATCCTCCAAAGGCTTAGATCTTCTAGAGTCGGCGCAAACTTGGAGATAAAGTTGAACAGAATATCAGCCCGAGCGCTTAGCTGACCAAGCTCGAGGTTCTTTAAGAGCGGTAGAGCAACTGGGGCAGGGTCAAGAAAAGTCGCATTAATTGAGCTGGTGGCGGGTTTCGGAATAGCCAACCACTGCAGGAAGTCCTCGTTATTGGCTACCAGATGTTTCTCAAAGTTCAGGCGAAGATGAACGAGATTGGGAGTGAAATGGAGGAAGCGCCGAAGCGAGCGTCCCGCGTTTGGATCCACTGACGTTCCGTTGCTATGGGTGTGCAGGTAACGAGGCTTGAGGTCCACGTTCAAGAGTAGCGTGCTTGTGTTCTGCAGTATGGGCTCTACTGTAGGTCGGATATAGTCTGGAAGGAAGAATGCTGTGTCGGGCAGGCCGCGCTGACGAAGCAATACTTCAAACTCAGTAGGTCGTCGGTTAGCCTTGCCCAAAGCGTACAACACGCTGGAGAAGACGCGAGACGTGAAACGAGTGCCGACATCCTGTCCGAAGGAATCGCGATCGGCGAACCGTAGCTCAATACCGGTTTCGCGATGGACGGTAGTTGCGCCCCAGGAGCTCCAGCTCTTGCCGTCACGAACTCGATTGCCTGCGTTGAAGTCGCGGATCCCGACGGTGGTGAGGTTCTCGAGACGCTCGAAAGCTTCCGTGAGCATTTCGCGGTCGATCCCAGTACCCAAAAGTGCTTTCTGGTCCTCATAGCCCTGAATATAGCGTGTAGCGGCGTCGTCGTCCCTGAAGCGTAGTGGTATCTCGCTGTAGACGTTGGTGGCAATGATGATGTGTACCAGCTTCTTGGAAAGACTGGCATGCTTGGATATGTCGATGAGCGCCTGCAGGCTCTTGTGCGTGAGCATGAACTGCTTCTTGAAGAAGAATTCTTTGGAAAACCATTCATATAGCGACTTCTCGGTTTGTTTGCATACAAGACGCAGTGAACCAAGATCTTCAGTAGGGAGGTATTCTGATACCGCGACCAGCAATTCCAGCGGAATGGTTAGTAGCGATGCCATCTTGACAGGAAGCGACGTTGATGAGTGAAGTTTGCTGTCGTGATGATGCGGGTGCTTGTGGCACGACTTATCATGTGTGCACGCGTTCCGTTCGCGAAGGCAGAAACGCGGGCTAGTCCGCTTTGGGCGCTGATGCCTAAGGGCGTTCCTTCCGAACACAGGCCACCGTCTCATCGGCCACCTGGTTCCGTCTCAACCAAATGTTCAAATAGCCATTCTGCGCCCCCAATCCAGCTGCATCGCGTCTTCCAAGGTTCATCGAAGTCAATCGCATCAAGGGCATCAATCGCATCAATGGTACTTACTGGATTGTCCATCGCGGCATCTGGCCGCTTCCCGAGTGGAGTAACCCAGAAAGCGCTACAGACGCGTATAACGTCACTCGGCGCCGAGTACCTGTCGAGCGTCACACCGGACACAACCCATCTCATCGCAACACAAAAAGACTTCGAGAGCAATTCCACGAAAGTCAAGACTGCTGTTGCTCAGAACGTGTCGATCGTTAGCCTCGAATGGCTCGACGAGTGCGAGGCGACAGGTAAGTCCACAACATTCCGATGCACTCAGAACCGCAATATGCTTCTCAAATCTCAACCAAGTAATTCAAATTGACGGTTGGAGCAGATTCCTATGTTCCTGAGTCGCAATATGTGTTGTCTTCTGCGGCGGCGGCGCCAGCTCCTGCCTCTGCCCCTGCCCCTGTCCAGAACGGGTCAAAGAAGCGCGCGGCGTCCTCTGCATCACCACCAACTGCACAACAGGAGACCAAAAAGCCCAAGATCAAAGAGAATGCCAAAGTTGGAGATGGACAGAATGCCAAGTCCAAGCAGATTGCCATCTCTGTAGACGAGCATTGCCCTCTGGCTAGCTGGCGCGTCTACATTGACAACAACGACGGCACGATCTACGACGCGTCACTCAACCAAACAAACTCGTCTGCAAACAACAGTGAGTTGCGGCAGTCACTCACAGATTTTGACGTGTATGCTGACTACCTTAGACAAGTTCTACAAAGTCCAGCTTCTCACCGATGGCTCCAGCTACCGAACGTGGACACGCTGGGGGCGAGTCGGCGACCGTGGCCAGATGAAGATGCTTGGCGATGGAGGCCTCAGCAATGCCATGCAGGAGTTTGAGAAGAAGTTCAAGGACAAGTCTGGCCTCAAGTGGGCGAACCGCGGTGACGAGCCGAAGGCTGGCAAATACGCCTACGTAGAGCGCTCCTACAACCCTGACTCGGACGACGATGACGACGGCGATGCCGATGCCGGCGCCGATGCCAACGATACCAACGGCGTTACGCCCGACAGCACCTTGTCTCCCCCAGTCCAGGATCTCATGAAGCTCATATTCAACCAGGTAAGATGGGAACCTCCAAAATTATTATGATGGATACATTGCCTCAGGACGCGTTCATCTATTACTTTTTAGCGATACGTATGCGGAAACACGGATTCCAGGCTAACATTTTCAACTAGGATTACTTCAACCAAACCATGACTGCCCTGAACTACGACGCAAACAAGCTCCCACTAGGCAAGCTTAGTAAAGGTACCATCGCTCGTGGTTTCCAAACTTTGAAGGATCTGTCCGTGCTTATCGACGAGAACGACAACGATTCAAGGGCAGAGGTTGAACGCCTGTCGAACCAGTACTTCTCTCTCATCCCGCACGCCTTCGGTCGCAATCGTCCGCCGGTCATTCGAGACATCACGCTCCTTAAGAAGGAGATTGAGCTACTTGAGAGGTAAGTTATGCTGTACAACGTGCATGTGAGGCGTATGCTGACTTCATATTCCACTTTAGTCTGTCAGACATGAAGGAGACCGCGGCCATGCTCAAGGACCAATTGAAGGACAAGAGCGATGTGAACAAGCTCGACAAACAATTCCAGGGACTCGGAATGAACGAGATGACTCCTCTTCAACATAAGAGTCGCGAATTCGTGGAGATCGACGAGTATCTCAACAACTCGAAGGGCAAGACACATCATGTCAGCTACAAAGTTCAAGAGATTTTCCGCATCGAGCGCCAAGGAGAATTCGATCGTTTTGACAAGAGCAAATACGCGAAGATTGCGAGCAACCGCCGCTTGCTTTGGCACGGATCCCGCGTCACCAACTATGGTGGTATTTTGGGTCAAGGTCTCAGAATCGCACCACCCGAAGCTCCTGTCAGTGGATACATGTTTGGCAAAGGTATCTATCTCGCCGATATGTCTTCAAAATCCGCCAACTACTGCGCTTCGTACAATTCTGGAGGCACTGCCCTGCTTCTTCTCTGTGAAGCTGAGCTTGGCAACCCAATGCACGAGCTTACCG